ACACCGCCCGTAAGCAATCCGCAGTTTTCTCCTGAACAATTAGTGGTATATAATCCCACAAAGAAAGTAGTCAACAGCGCTACCAGGCAACCAACCATTGGGGCGGTCAGGAACCCACAACGGCTGAAGAAGGCAGAGCCGTCCGGAGGACGCCATGCGACGAAAGCCCAAAGATAAAGCAGTGCATGGAGGAGACCCATGCCCGTAGAGCCGGGTCAGACCGCTAGCCCAAGCTGTCGCCTAGGGCTGGCCCACCGCGAAAACCTTTGACCCGTAAGCATCAACAAAGACAAGGCCGGTCCCCACTAAAGCCTAGTTCTAGGCGCAAGGGCATTCAGAGGAGTCGAGTCCGACTATTCATCCTCTCCCAAAAACTGCAACATATTGAGACGAGACGCGTGCGAGTTTCTAAGTCAGCCTTAAAGAGCAACCAGAAATACCTAATCCAACGGCCAAGTCCACGTACAAAGCATGTAATAAAAGCATGAAATAAATGGCGAAAGCATTAAATTAATAAAGCCTTAACACAGCTGGAGGTATTTGTCACAAAAAGGAAAAGAAAAGATGTAAAAAGTGCTTTAAAATACAAGTCAGAAGGGGTGAATCCCAAAGATATCCAGAAGCGAGGCGGTTAAGGCGACGGTAGGTGGGAAGCACAGGCCGCTAAGCTCGAGGGGTTGCCGCCATGATCCCAGGGCACGCAAAAAGTCTCAGCCCTATTAGGGTCATCCTGGTGCCATCCCACGTCTCGCTCCTACCAGAGTTGAGTCACCTCAGCTTGGCTATCCGCCCACGCTCGGACAATCACAAGTGTGGCATTGGGCTCCGTGTTTAGGGTAAAACCTCGGAACACCGCAATGGTACCACGAAGAAGACGGTTCTCAAAGTTCATATCACTCACGTTCATGTCCTCCAACGTCATCCTGAGGCGAGACACATCTATGGGTGGAAGACTGCGACTCAGCGAGCAAATTTCGAGTCAACATCAGCTTAACCTGAAGTTCGCTGGCCCAGTCAGCCAGACCACATTGGCGGCACTCAGCATGCTCCAGCAGCGAAAGCGCTTGGAGACCTTGAAAGGGACAAAGAGGTTTAAGACACTGTCGCCTTGAGAAAAGTAAAAGGGATAAAGAACAGCAGGCTTACCCACTCCAGGGGTCCTGAAGCTCTGATACGGTCCACCGCCATTTCAAAAGAGGCAGGCTTGATGGCCCCAAGGGAACAACTGACGGGGGAGGACACACCAAATCGGGAGTCACATCCCTTGCTGTGGGAGAACCAGACCCCAAAGTGGAAGATACGTTGAACAGCAAGCCCGAGCGAGCAGAAGAAAGCCAAGCCCGTAAAGAGGGACCAGCGAGCAAAGAGAGACAACATCTCCGGAGAGGATGCTGAGCAGACAATCTCCTTAAGCGTTGGGCAGCATAGGTCTCGAACAGAGACGCTAGCCAAAACATTGAACCTGTTGCACAAGAGTCAATCAAAACACGGCAGAATAAAAAGGATGCAAAGAACCTCGGGAAGAGACATATGTACCCACCGTCCACATCGGAGCGCAGAGCGGGAGCACGAGCAAGATCTTACTGATATATACGAAAGACAACATAAAATCAAAGGTTTTGATTCTCTCGTCCAGCGCGGATCATTGTTCCAGTTTTGACTCGTCGTATACCCACGGGGTCTCGGCCACTGAAAAAGAAGAAGTCAAGAGTCATAAAGAGGGAAAACCCCAAAGAGGTGGCAACGGGAACCAATTGATCGATAAAACTCACCCCAAAATCACCATGATAGAGGGACGTCAACACCCTGGCCAATTATCCAGAAGAAATAATGCTCCCTCAAGTTCCTGCTCCCCACCGATCTTCCAAGATCAGAGTAGGGCGGTCCTCTTGGGCATGCAGAGTGTAGCATATGAAGTTAGCAGAGATGGGGTGCAGCCAGCACCACGGATCCCCGCACGGTAATCCTGGATATGTCTGAAAGGACATGATACGCATTAAGCAGCCCTCACATCGATGGATGCAGCTGGCTAGGACAAATGCTGGAGCAATGACAGAAGTCAATAAGAATACGGGGAAGGTTGCCCCTAAAGCCATAGAGTAGATAGTCGTCATGACTGGCGATGTAGTGAGGTGGAGGATGATCTGCCCGATCCCTTCCGGCGGTATGGTGGTGATTAAGAGGGATGCATGGAGGGTCAACCACTGATATGACCCTCTCCAAGACAGCCGGCGTACACACCAAAGGAGGCCGGTCTTGCTTTTCGACCATCTTGAGAGTATGAGCAATATTCTCGACGCTACTTCCAGACTATGAAAAGGAGACACTCAAAGTATTCACAAACGAGTTCGTTGACGAGGACGACATTGCTCTGATTCAACGAAAGAAACTAAATTTGGACAAAGACGGGAGGAAAATAAAGATGGAGATTGAAGCAAAGTCAAAGAAAAAAGCATGTGGTGGACGCCGACTGTTCCCAATTACCTATTAGGAAAAAGGTAAACCGAAACAACGCACGAGAATGGTTGCGAACCATTCAGAAATAACAAAAGAAATCAAGGGTTATTTCGGTAAATGGCCATCCTCGAGCCGTGCACTTGAAGAGACGTGTCATTATAACGAAGGAGGCAGATGGTCCCTCATGATGACGATAGCAGGCGTCATAAGAAGTAAAGATAATAGTGCAGCGGAACTTCTCACGTGGCAAGCAAACAAAAATTTGCAACGTGGTCTGCATCCCCCCCTCCCCCCAATCTAATGAAAGGAAATCACCCCGGCCAGAGATAATGCGACTCCCGAACCCAAGTTGTAACACGAGATCACGCAAAATTCCCTGGAGTGCAGGCAAGTAACTTCACCTGCAACGACAAGTCGCGACACAACGGTATGGGGTCTGAAACCTTACAGGAGACAGATATTTATTCGGGCGGCCCTTACCCACGGGGGGAGATTGTGCAGGCTCCTTATTCATTTCAATAAGGCACGTGCGTTCCCTGTTTTCTTACTTATGTGATTGCTTGATTCTTTGTTTGGGTGACCGCCCGCTATAATGGCTCCCTGCCTACATGATTTCTTAGTTGCGTAGTTTATTGATTATGTGATTTTTTATTGTGTGATTTTTTTATTGGGTGATTCTTTGCCTACATGATTGAGTGCTCTCTGCTTGCATGCTTACTCAATTGCTTGATCTTTCGAGTCCTCGTGGCACTTAACTCTGCCTTCTCGGTTTACTTATTGCACCTTTGTTTCCATTTCCCCATTCTTGTTTGCATTACCTTACCCTCTGGGGCATCAAGTTTGTGATCCAAATTTTCATAAAAATCCTCAGTTCAAATTTCAGACATCGTGCTCTCCGCGGACTTACTCTTCTTCAGAAGCACCATTCCTCCAGGAATTCTGAACAATGGTCCTGCATACCTTCGGATCCTTCTGCCAGCTCTCTTTGTGGACCGTCTATTTCTTTACTGTGCTTCCTACGGGGATGCACTTACCTTCCAGAGTATTATTCCTCTGGGAATTCGAAACCCCCGTTTCACATACATCTAGGTCATCCTCGGCAGCTCCCTCTAGGGACTATGCGACATTTTAGTGTGCTCCTTCTGGGGACGCATTTGCATTCAGTGTCACCGTCGGGAATTAAGGTCACCCCTTATGGGAGGCTTTCTCTTCCCAAAACCTTCCCCACCTCTCCCTTCGAGGTTTGTCCAAGCCAGATTCTAAAACTATGAAACTTTCCGTGTAAGCACAAGGCGAAGACTGTTTTGGCAGTAAGAGAGTCGGGGTAGCGCCTTTGGGAAACACCTTGTTTCAGCACTAGCTGACTGGCACAAGTTGAAAAAAAAGCAATGGATCTCCATCGTGTTAGCGATCCGTGCACGGAGACCATCTTTTCACCCTTTCAAAGTGCCATTCGAGATTCTTGGGCAGGTGTTTCAAACCGTGTTGTTATCTTATATTAATCTCCATGGTCACATAAGGCTCTAACTTCCTCATACTCTAAATGGTGAAGGAAGACGGCTCCTTCTTTAGTGATCCACGAAATAAGGAATAAAATCCCTTCTTGGAGATGCTCATTCGTGGGCGACCAACAGTTTTTTCGAGAGTCTAACTTCCTCCTGTTCTGGACAAGTGTGTACTCTTCTAGAATGCATGTTCAACTTGAGGTATGACCCCATCCTAGAACGCTGCTGCCATATTTTGAATTTCTCTGTTATTTACTCTGTTTTGATTTATTTTTACTAGTTTGATAGTTGAGTTTACTTGTTTAATTCATTGCATATGGTCATATTTTATTTCGTTCTTTAATGTTTAATGATAACTTAGGTTGGTAGCTTAAGAATAAACTTTCTGTGTTTAACTTAGCTCACTAAATTTTATGTATTGCTTGTGCAACCTAACCTCCTTTTTGGATTAATAAAAGATTATAAGCTATAATATATTTGATTTGTAGTTGGGTTGATTGTTTAATTGCATAAAAACCTATATGTTATGTTATGAAGTTGTGACAACACATTTAAAGACCTAATTAGGCAAACTAAAAAAAATTGTGTATTAGCTAAGTATGACATATACAATACAATTATGGTTGAGTTTTGAGTTTGCATTAGGTTTAGATTTTTGTCTTTTGTATTTATAACAAAGCAATATTAAAAATAATTTTTTAGATTTAGTCACAAATAAGTCATGAGTATTTTAGCTACAAAAATATGTTGTTGGAGTGTAATAAAGATGACATTAATTTCCACGTGTATTTCAGCAAAGCAATAACAGTGTACACTTTCAGTTTGGCCATGTTATGGAGTTGTGACAACACATTTAAAAACCTAATTAGGCAAAAAGAAAAAATTAAAAAATTAAAAAATGCAAAATGCATCATCTAAGTATGACACATACAAGACAACTATGGTTGAGGGATTACAGTAAAACGATTTCTGTCTTTCTTTCCCATGACGACTAGGAAAAGGGATTACAGTAAAACCATTAGCGGTATGATTTTTTTGGTTTGTTATGGTTAAATTGGGTTCCTTTTTTTTTGTTCCTCATCCGTTGACTTAAGATAATATATATAGTAATTAAAAGTATTATTCATATTTTAGTAAAAACAAAGTATTATTCATTGATCATTTATTATTGGGGTATTTATTAGTACAATAGAAGAAGCTCACTTATGTTATTTGTGTAGCAACTAGAAAGAGTTGTGTTGTGACATAAGATTGATAGGGATAAATTGTTTCATGCATCTGCGAGCTTTTTGTACTGGGAGGAGAGGCTTGAGCGGAGGAAATCTTGTTTTGTAGAGTTTTTGGTGGTAACATTAATGAACGTCTGGTACCATTTGCCAGAATCTTTTAGGTTTCTATCACTAACGTCTGTCCAATTAACATAACTGAGTCCAAATCTGACGCTGAAGCCTTTGCAGAACTCATAATTATCTCCAAGAGCCCATGCAAAGTATCCTTTGACGTTGACATTCTTCTCTCTGAAAACAAGAACAATCATCATATATAATTAAAAAGATGATGACATCATACATGTATATATATTAAAGAGAGAGAAAAAAAGAGTTTAGTAGCATCCACTCACTTGATGACTTTACTGAGAAAACAGAAATGACTACAGAGATAATCAATCCGCTTGGAATCGGCAACAGCCTGCTCACGGGGTTCGGAACCGGGGCTACTAATCCCTAATTAAACCGGAATAATTGGTACAATATCTGAGTCAATTTCTTCAGACCAATTTTGGAAATATACTTCAGATGAAAAGAGATGAGTAGTAGAAACTCACCGTTCTCGGTGATATAGATTAAAGGGTCACCGTATCTGGTTTTGAAGTGATCCATTACGTAATAAATTCCTTTTGGATAGTAATAGCTGTTGCCGCTTACCTTGTCTTCAGAGAACTGAGAAAGAGAATCAAATATATATATATAAACCAGATGAATTTTATTTTGCTTAAGACAAAAAATGTAAATAAAAGAATCAAATATATATATATGTACCAGTGGACCAGGAACTTCCCCACGTATATTCTCAGCTGTAAACACAAGGATGAAATAATTTGATGGTCACTAACAAAATATGTTTTGTATTTAAAAGGAGATATATTGAAAGGTTGTAACTAAGTGGAAATAGAGTAGTACACGTGAGCTTTACGCATGGGTCCATCATGGCAGTGTGTTTTGGCGAAGGATATGGGTTAGCAGCTGGCTGTGCATACTGAGTGACGTAATAGTTGAGACCAAGAAAATCATATGAACCCTTTACGAGTTTGGCTTCTGCTTCTGTGAAGTTGGGAAGACGACTTCCCACAATTTGCCTCATGACGTCTGGGTATCTACCCTTTGTTAGCGGCTCCATGAACCTGGTACATTTACAGTTCCGAGGGAGAAATTGATCGTTAGACCTAAGTTAGGGTTCATATATTAATAATGTTCTTTAAAACACGTTTTGATTTTTTGGTACCATCCTAAGAAGAATTCTTTTATCCTCTCAGTTGCATCTAGGCAGGCTTTATCAGTCTCATCATATGGAAGAAACCATCTAGTTATCATCACAGGTCCGATCTTCCCTCCTTGGAACTGTTGGTCATGATATACACAAAAATGATATGATTAAATTAGGAATAGCTAGATATGTTAGATTACACCTTTTTTATAAGTCATGAACTCACCTTATATTTCGTCCTGTAAACATCAACCGCCACAGCATGAGCAAGGAGCTGGTTATGCGCAACTATATAGGGTTCCGTTGAAGAATTTCCACCGTAACATCTCTCATCAATCGCTGGAGAACATCGACCGGGTGCATCTGTCCCGATTGCATAGCCTCTCGTAGGCACTGTGTAGAGCTGGTTGATAGTGATCCAGTTCTTTACCTTTCCACCAAATTCCTTGAAACATAGATCCGCATAATCTCTAAAATCATCACTGCGCATATATTATAGAATCATTTCATTAGTTGCAAGATCAAAAAACCTATATATATTTTTGTAATTAAGTATCATGGCATTGCAAAAATAACATACATGACCGTGCGGTTCAAGAAACCTTCATACTCATCTTGCAGTGTTTGAGGAAGGTCCCAGTGAAAGAGGGTAACGAAAGGCGTTATGTTCTTTGCGATGAGGGCATCTAAGAGTTTGTGGTAGTAATCAATGCCTCCTTTGTTCACACCCCTACTCACCTTTCCTTCTGCTCATTCATGGTTACATATACGTATAATTTATCTTCCAAGCAATCTTAATCAAAACACAAAGACGTGTATTGTATGTATCGACAATGTGTACATACTTGGAATGATTCTTGACCACGCAAAGGAGAATCTGTAGCCAGTAGCATTCATTTCGGTTATCGCCTCTACATCTTTCTGCAGTTTACATATACAATCTCATATCAATCCACACCTAGTTGATAAGATAATTCAATTAGTATATGTCTTTTTAGGAATTAACCTCCCATCTTGTATATGACTCACAAGTAGTGTCTCCATTCCCATGATCTGGTCCTCCTTTCTCTGATAGTAAACAAATACATTAATTACTTTGAATGTATATATAGAGACCTATTAGTTATACATGTAAGTATATACAACATGCAAACGACATACCTGGGTAGCGGTGAGTGAAGCCATCCCAAACGTTAAGACCACGACCTCTGCCTCCTTCGACCTGAAATGAAAAGAATCAACCATGCAACGTTGAAGTTGTGTGTTTTTTAATGTTTTCTACGTGAAAATTTGGGTATGACAATACAATGTGTGATGGTTTGTTACATGCCTGGTAAGCAGCGGATGCAACACCGAAGATGAAGTCTTTGTCGAAGTTTTTACTGCTTAAAACATCAATGTTTCCACATGTGAATGGCTCGTTCTCTTCGCAAGTAAGTTCCTCATCAGCTTTGTAAGTCGCTAAAGCTGATAGAAAAACGATTATGGCGAGTCCGTGAAGAAGCTTCTTCATGTTTTTTTTTTGTTTTAGATGTATATATGTGTTTGTGTTTGATATTGAGCCTTGTGCTGATCTAGGGTTTATATAGCCTTTGTAAAGAAGACTAGCGTATGCATTTTCTTGTGGGAGGGGTTTAGGTGAGATGAATCTCGTGGGTTCACCGATTTTTGTTTGCTATCACGAGATCATATCCTAAACCAATCGAGTAAGCTCCATCTAGCTAGTAAAAGCATATGTGTTCCTTATCGGGAACATAACTTGGAATATCTGCTGAGCCTTTATCCTATTTTTAGGTTCATTAGGATTTTTATTGGTCGGAACTTCCAGTTATCGCGAATTGTGTCTTATCTTCAATGGATCGTCGACAGTAACGTAGTGCTACATATCGAACTTGTAGTAGATGTTGTTCCAAACCTATTAATTTTGACATGAATTTATGATTGAGGCCATAAAATTATTGAAAAGGTCTATAGAAACATAATCAAGTGTTCAATTAATCCAAGTGTTGAAGAGTAAAAATAATTACATTATTGATTTTAGGCCTCCCCTCTCAGTGTCACAGCATCTCGAATTTATATTTGGCTGAATGATGCTTTTATCACATGAAACCAGAGACTCTCTCCTCCAAAAAGCACCGAAACAAAAGAAAACAAAAAGAAAGCTAAGAAATTAATTTGCATTTTAATTTGTCATTTAAAAGTGGAGATTATTTGTCATCGGCAAAACAATAATCTTTCGTGGCCACTGGATTTTTGTTTTGTTTAGTTTTTTTTTTTTTTTGCTATTCACAAATTTTAGAAAAATTAAATAGCAAAATGTACCATCTTGACTATTATAAAAGATATTATATAAGATGTAGTCTAAATTTAGATATTTAAATACAAAAAAAAATATAAAAAAGTCAATACAAATAAAATATTACCTATAAATATAATTTGGCAAATTTTTTAAAATAAATAAAATGTTTTGATAAACTAATTAAAATTAACTAAATTATAAATCTGTAACATAAATACACTAGAATATAAAACATAAATTAATAAAAAATGATAATTATAGATAGTATATAATATGATAACAAAAATTTACAAAAAATAGTATATATATATAAATTTATATTTATTGTGTCTTATCAAGAGATGACCTATCAACAGTGGGCTTCACTTTAATGATGAATTTGCTGTCTAGACCTGTCTATGGGCTCTCTACCACAATGTTCTCGGACAGTTAACAAATTTCCCGAGTCGAAGACATGCTGCAAGAGCACACCTGCTTCCTCTGAACGCCCTACTGATGGGATAGGTTAGAGAAAAAACTATATAAAAATGGAGAAAAGGTCAAGAGAAAAAGGAGGGGCTGAAAGGGCCAAACGGCAAGGAGAAAACAAAAAGAGAAGAATCAGAAAGAGAAGGACAAACATCCAAAGTCAAAGGGAAGGAACTACCAGAGTATCAAACCTACGCCAGAACCGACTAACCGACCAGACCCAGCAGTGTGGCTAAAGGGGACACGCTCAACGTTCCTCAGTAAAAACGACAATCGAGACAAGCTTTCCTTTCTCCCCTAAACTTCTGTTTTATCCTCCATCGAGAGAGTTCCAATCCCACTCTCTCAATGGTTTATTCACTTCACGTCAACCCTCACCAAATGGCAGACGGGTATCATGATCCTCAGACAAAGTATCCTAACCGTAACAGCATCACCACCTATCCACCCTTCCGAGTACCTGTTTTTAATGGGGCATAATCTAACTTGAATGTCGGAAAACTTTCGGAAGCGAAACTCCTTTCCGGTTCTCCCGAGGTCCGGCTTACTTATTTCTAGTTTTTGCAGGACCCATTCAGACTTTCACCTTGGGACCGCATACCGCTCATCACCCTAGAAAACGAAATTAAGAGACTCAGCTCCACAACTCGGACGAATACACACCCCCTGTAAGCATCCCGTATTTTTTTCCCAAACAATTGGTGTTAGAAGGAGGGGATTAGACCGGTATGTTGTTCGACGAAGAAAGTAGTCGGCGGGTTTGCAATGCGACTAACTGCTGGCGTAATCAAAAACCCACCAAGGCTGAAGAAGTTGGAGCCATCAAGGAGACTCCGAAGCAGAATCATTCCGCTAGAGCAGTCCCTCATTCTGCTAGAGCAGTCCCTCTCAAGCTGGGTGATAGGGCTCAGGTTTTACCCAATTAATTAACTACTGCAAGTGCACATCAAGGTAGTTGTAGCATAAAAGGTTATCGAACTGCCTTGGGAGTGAGCTTACTACACTAACCATTTATAGATTCAGATTAAGCTAAGCCGTAAATAATGAATGTAATGCAAAGTAACTGAAAATTATGAAAGCAAACGATTTTGGTCTATCTAGATTTAGAAAACTAAAAGCGCTAAGTCAGGTCAATTCGTAGGTTGAATCTGAGAGTGTAAATGCATGCAAATCAGGAATGAATTAAAACCGTCTTAAACAGGAAACACAAAGATATAACTAATCAGTATTCATTGCAGAAGTTATCTATGTCTAAATCACAGAGTTTCAAATCTCTTTGCAAACTCTAACAACCTAAACATGCAGTAATGATCAGGTTCAATTGTTCACAAAACTCCTAAGCCAAATCTCTTTGCACTAGGACGTTTTGCTCATCTAATGCTAGTTCGGGTGATTAATAATATTCTCACATCTATCAAACAACCTACGGTTTCAAAATCTAGATAATATGTCTAAGAAATCGATATGAATGCAAGCATAGATGAAGAACCAATGGATTTTCCTAACAGTTTTGCAATTCTACAAACTCTTCTTCAACCTTTGAAAAGCCTTAACTTAACTAACAAACTACTCAGACATGGTGAATGATACAAACATCATGAAAAGAGTAGATTGCATAAAAGAAATAAGAAATTAATATAAAGGAGTTTAAAATCTGCTCTGAAGGAGTATGATTTGTCTCTCCAAAAGCTTTGCTACAAATCTCTCTCTAAAACTCTCTAGAAAATAAAATACAAGATTCCAAGCCAACAATGGCTGAAAACCTAATATATACAATCTAAATCACGAGCTGGGCCCTTTTTGTAAATACTGGAATTTCTAGGCCAAAACTGCAATTTCCTCTCCATCTTTTGATAAATGTCGTGATTTCTCTTCAAAGGCTGGTGACAAGCATCATCCATAAGTGGTGACGAGCGTCACCCACTGCAGAACAACGCTTTTGAGTTGCTTCCTTCGGGGATGGTCCTTGCTATGATCCAAAAAGCTCCAAAGCCTCCAATTGTGTTCCAGTCTTGCTATAACCTGCAAAGGCTCTACTAGGACTCTAAAAAGACCAAAAATACTTAATAAAAAGGACTTATACTATGGTTAAAAACCATAAAAACCATGATATATCACTAGGCCGCCCCAAGACCTTTGTCCCCTCGCTGGTGTTAAAGAGGATAGGACCCACCCCCGACAGAGTGCATCAGTCGGTCCAGAATTTCCCGGCTCCAGCGCACGCCGAGGAGCATCACCCGGTAAAACAATAGGTCCCTTTTCGATAAAAGAGGACGCCAGCCATGACCGGCGGAGCCTTTAGATCTTGTGCTACCCCTAAAGCTGGTGGCAAGAATGTTCCAGTGGGACCCGTTCGTCGGCTCGCCCCTTCCCTAAAACCATGATATGTTAGAAGAGCATATCCTGGTTAGAAGTTAGTTAAAAGAGAACCGGGGGCATTTCGGTTCGTCACCCCCGAGTCTGAGGAGTCAGACTGTTATCGGGAAAATCTAAGTTCAATGAGAGTCGACAAAGGGGTAAATCGAATCAGTTCGAAAAGGCAAAGAAATAAAGGAGTGAAGAAAGACAATGAAATAAATTAAGTTATATTCATATGATCGTACAGAACATTACCATGTTTGGTACGATCGGATAAGTGCGTGGCTAACGCCCTCGATTATTCCTATTTTTTTTCCGGACTCATTCCCCCTCCCCCCCCCCATCCCGTGTAAGCTGTAGAGTGCGAATGCGTGCCCGGAGTTCAGATCGCTCGCCCTGCAGCTCCGTGTTGGCTGCCTAGAGATCTGCCAATAGAGCGCTCTCCTTTATACTGTCCAGGAGATCCAGTTCCTCTTTGTACCATCCGCCATCAGTGTTCGACATCGCTCCAAACAACGAACCTTCGTGAGCTGTCCGCACGGTCTGGGCCACATGGCTAGAGATCTCTGCCGTGAGGGAATCGACGTGAAGGGAATCTATGCGCTTCAAGGGAAGGAACCCCAATCCCAGGCTGAGAACCTAAGGCAAACTCCCTGGCGACAGAAGAATCATCGTCTGGTTCATCCCGTGAACACTTTTTAGGATGCACCGCCGCATCTTCTCCAGGATCCTCTCCTCTCGTTCATGTGCCTACATGAGAGAGTCTCGGAGGTATACCACCGATCTGATCGTCTTTGCCAAACGTCAGTGGTCAAGTCAACTGAACGAACTCGCACGCCATATCAGGACCTGAGGCTCCCCTGGGGAGAGTACTTGTGGTAACCCAACCCGGTAAACCGTACCGTGGCTGTGTCCCACTACATCCTCTAAGTCCGTTTCTATACTTAGTCATATTTTTGAAGTTTTTCTTCTTTATTTTTATAAGTCTTTCTTATCATTACACAGCAGAATATAAAGCAAATCATTCATTTATTCAACTTTCAAAAACACTTAAACAGATTTGGGGTTCCATATAAATCAAAACACAAGGTTCGCTAAAGATACAATTAATCATCTAGCAACCTAACGATCAAACACCAAAGCCATAAGACTCTAAACACAAGTCTTAACACAAATAAAACCAAGTCCCGATCCATCCATATCCATCACTGCCGCCTGGTCTCGCCCCCTTACTGCTTAGTACCTGCACACTCAAGATGAGAGGCATAAGTATTTCATAAATACTTAGTGAGTACGGTCATCCCATAACACCTGGTCAGTACCAAACACGCAGTCATACTTTCGGATTCAACATTCAACACAATCAATTCGCAATAGACATAACAATATCAAACGGCCATGATCATCTAGCCTAACCAACTAAGATCAATCCCTTTTT